AACATACTTTGACTCGAACTATTATGAGAAATTATACGATCGGATCCGAACACTGATTTTTTGATAATGCGTAGAGATTTATTTTTTTCAGCTATGTAATTAGGTTATTCGCTTTGCCGAATTTAATTTTATTGTATCATAATCGGGATGATGGTTTTGTAATCGTGTAGCCTTGTTTTAGTGAGATAATGATAATAGTAATATTAGTTCTGTCGACAGTCGTCTCCTGTCGAGATGAGAGAATCGGAGCCATACCGGCAGGAGCGTAAGCTTCCGGTAGCACTACCCATACAGTAAGTTGTAGGGAAATTTGAAGCGAAAAACTGACAAAGAAGCAGTGCTGATCCAGAGTGGGAGGCTACTGGATCGCGTCAGTTCACCGTATCGAGAGTGGCTTATTTTCACACACCTAGCTTTAGCTGTAAAAGCACCCCCACTTCTGTGGAAGTAATAAAAATGATGGTTACGTGTTCACAGCATGAACCGGCCGGATTAAGAAGGTTCGCCTTCGTGGCTTAGGCAGAGGCTAACATTCACGATGGTAAACGTAGATTTTTTGAACGTTAAATAAACTGGTCCGAGTATGACTACTGCATCACAAACGCATTCACCAATTTACTCACACACAACGAATACACCTCAGCATACTGTATGTTGTTCATTCCACGTGAGGTAAACCACGTCAACGGATGAAGTAACAAAGTTCAAACGAATCCATCGATTGTATCTACTACAATATCACGAAACAAGAAACATATGCAAATACTACATGACAAATTCACACAAAAATACCCGCATCCAACTGTTACAGAGCAAAGAGATCAGTAAAGAACAATTATATAACATTATTCCACAAACAACGCTTGCACAACACAAAAACTAGATCACGCGGAAGATCAGCAAATGCCTGAGCAACAGTTATTCGTGAAAACGTATAACGTATACACCGCGTGACAGACATCAATGTAAACACTAATGCGACAATTACAACGGGTGACACTGTAGACAGAATTAATTAACAAGTCCACATATTTATTCCAAGAAACACTCACTAAATATACATGTTTAAACATAAAAAATATACAAATTGAAATGAGTAGGGAAACTCTGCACCACTTAAATACACATATTAAATAACTATTATAAAATATTTTAAATGTTCCCATAGTACACAAATTCTTTATAACACAAGAAAAATGTATTTGAACTTTAATTTCTCCACAAGTGCGCACTCTGGCACCCGACAATTTAATCAAGCACAACACTGGTTCCTTACAGCCACACACCCTGCTCAGCACTGACCCGACACACTAAAGGGAAGCGCACAATTTCTCCCTCTCTATGCGGGAAAATCTCACCCCCACTATACACGATGGGTTAATCCTCAAAGGAGTAACCATGCATGCCTGATTTTGAGTCATTCCTGGAAGTGTGTGGGGGAAAATTTAACAGCTTCGGCGACCTGTACCGACCACCCGAGTAGAATTGAAAAACCATTTGATTTTCCTGGCGCAGTGTCAGACTGCGCAGGCCGACCTAAACGTGTGTGAGAACAATATCTGGTGAATGTTTGGAAGAATTATTTTCTATAACCTTATTAACTTTTATTATTTATAACCTAATAAATTAATTTTTCGGGTTATAAATTATTTTCGGATCAAAAATTTCTTGAGTAAATTAAAATTATAAATAATTTTAATATTTAGAAAACTTCTCAATTCATTTCTTCCGTTTTCATAAAACATCTCGATACTCTTTATCATTTTCTTCTACATTTTAAAAAATTTATTGTTTTAATATCCAAGTAAATTAAAACATGACAACTTAAAATAAGACAAAGTTTAATAAATTCTTTTTAATTATTAAATTATAAAATTAATTTGCGATAATAATGTTTACAATTTGTACTAATATCGGATGTGGTTGAGAATTATTAATATATATTCGTCTATAAAATTTAATCCATGAATTTTTTTGGTAGTAAAATTGACTTGCCATTGATCTTTCGCTGATAATTGATGCTTTTTAACAGAATCTATAGCCCAAAATTTCTCTTGAAAAATTAATTTTGTGATCTGAAATAATTCCACTAAAAAATTATTCGTATGAAAAATTAATTTTGTGATTGGTGCTACCCAAACCACTACTACTACTATTTACACCATAGACTTCTGTGCATACTTTTTCCCCGCGAGTTTTAATAAAATTTGTTGCCAATAAACATCAGTGGCGTAATAATAAACACAATGGCGTAGCGAACATAACTGGCACCCGGGCCGCGACACTATATTGGCGCCCCCTCCCCCTCCGGAAACAAATTTTGTTTTTCTTGAAAACCATATGGCTCCCCTCTGCCAGTGGCGCCCGGGGCAAGCTGCCCCACCGTCTGCTGAGAGGTTTTCTTCGTTTGTGGGCGATAGGAAATTCTGTAGTTCCTCGAGGCCAGGCAGCCTCAAAGGATTAACCCATCGTGTATAGCCGCCTTTATTAGGGATACGATTACTAAACACTCCTGACACGTGTGACGATTCTGTTTAGTTGTATATCGAACTTAACTATAATTAATCTACATACATTAAATAATTATCATTATATACTTAAATATCTAATAGTGTAGATATACGTATATTAGTTTATTCTAGTACAGTCACTATAATTAGGATCCTGGCCTTAAACTACATTTACAAATCTCACACATTCAAAACACAACACAATAAGTACTGTACATACAGGAAATACTGATACTCTCAAACAAAGCTAGTAGGCAAGTCACAAATAGCGAAACGATACAATGCTTATACAGGAAAAATAAATTATTCAAAAACAATGAGGGCCTTTTATGAGGTCAACGACATATCAAACTGACCATACAGCAGAATGTCACGCCAACAAAAAACCTCACAGACTATATTGGTCCTTTACTCTATTCCAAATCGCACACAAAAGCGAAGCTAGATCGAGGAAGAACGAAACTTGTGCAATAAACTAATTATGTCATGTGTCGGAATAAACACGAACGACATTCAAAATTCAGTGCATAGAACACAGTGAAAGACATCTGGTTAAGACGACATTAACAATTTCCGATAAAACAAATTCAATCTCTGCACCAGGAATTAGCCAATCACTTTACATACACTGTCAACAATCTAAAAGACATTGATCCTACACTCTACAAAATACTCACATTATGCATCACACATAAATTATATCATCATGTAGAACAGAATTCTCATAGCGCAACAAAAAGAATGTCACAGAAATCATACGGTATGCAAAGAACAGTTACTCTTAGATTCAGTCATTCCACGACAAGCGCACAAACAGTACAGAACAGAAACAGCACAGCGTTTAGAATGCTGTCAAATGCCTTCCTATACTTTGTTTATCACATGGATGTATCCATGTGACAAACAAAGTATAGTAAGGCATTTGATAGCATTCTATACTCTGCGTTAGTGCATACACTAAACCTATACAAAATACATCCAACACTCATTGAATACTAGAAAACACAATGCAACATTGGAAAACAAGCGTATCTCAATATTTCACTCATTCACCCGACACAGCTAGATCATATCTATTAGAAGTTACATTCCACTGACATTTAAACGGAGCTTGATCAAGATAAATGCAGAACAAACACTTGACAAAGAATAGGGAATTCTGAAGAAAGATGAATTTGTACTCGGAAATGGAGATGTCATAGATATGGCAAATTCTGCAAATATTTAAGATTTCAACAGGCCAAACTCACAAAACACATACAAATAAACCAAAGACAGATAAGAGAATACAACAGCGGACTAAACTCGATACTAACAGCACGGCTGAATGCTAAACACACATTTCAAGCAAAAAACACACACAAGTCGGACGACTCGCGTGCTTATTGCTTGTCCACTGTATAATTCCAAACGGGAATTATACAGTGGACAAGCACACAACCAGCAAAACTCCAAAGGTAAACAGGAACAATATTAATAAAAGATAACAGATATCATCCTAAGTCCTCTACAGAAAGATCGATTCTTCCTCGTAAACAGGAAGAACGAGGAATTTACCTTCACTGCAAAATAAATACAGACATCGCGAGAGTTTTTCTATAGAAAACAATACCACAATTATACAAAAATGTAAAGCAGTAAAACTTACTCGACACCGACTAGGACAGGCATGGCCAACATACGGCCCGTCTAATGAATTTATGTGGCCCGCGATCAATCTTTCAATATTAACTACCAAAATTTAACACAGTAGCCCGAATGCCCCTAATACATCAACCTTCCTGCAAAATTTCAGAAATTTTCGACATAAGCCACGGGAGTTGTTAAACTTCGAAGTGAATGAAAAAAATCGAGGCCCTGCACGCAGGCGCAGGCTTTAACATCCATCTATAGAAAGAAACTAACCTTTTGTTCGTTTTTCGACGTTTCGAGATGTCTGGGTCTAAAAATGTAAAAATGTTGGGGATCATTTTTTGACATATTGTCATACTTTCCGTCCGTTATACAGCGTTCTTACTCAATTTTTGTTTCCACGACTTTCCCTGACTTTGTACAAATTCCCCACCCTCGTGTCCCTTACAGTATGGCATATTGAAAAGTAAAACACTTATTATGCACAAACGTTATTCTTTCAACTTTTTAGTTAGTTATTTTTTCTAATTAACAGTTATATAATTTTTATAATTCTTCACATAAACAATCAACATTAGTTTCTAAAATTAATCTGACCTATCAGTAAAAGAAGCAAATGCCTATAATGATTGTATAAACATTAAACAAAATAAAAATAATACACAGTGATTAAAATTTATAAGATCTGATTTTGAGTGATATTAAATTATTATTCTACTGCATTATAAGTAAATTAATGCTGGATACTTATTTGCATTTTTCCAATCAATAAGGAAAGTGATCTGAAAAATATTGGGAAAAAATAATAAACAAAATAAAAATAATACGTAAAACGTACGAATTGAAAGTAACTCTTACCTATGATTAAAAAGGGTACAGTTCCAGCAGGAACCACAAACGGTGTATCAAAATACATAATCAATCCAAATGACGAAGCCAAAGACATTCCTCCCGATATTAACGCAATTATTCCAGTCCAAGGTTTGCTTTCGATCCAACTGTTATACAAACAGGTCAGCATTGAAAAGATTGCTATTGCTAACATTGTAATCGGTATTCGAGGAAATATTCGTCTGACGACAGCTAATAACTCTTGTTCAATTGTAATCGATGTGTATCGATCGACGGTTATGTACTGAAAATTACTCGATTCAATAAGATTTAAAAACAGATTTTGCCATTTTTCCACTTTGCTTCTTTCAAGTTTCGAATAGTCGTTAAAGTAATAAACCAGTCGCAATACTTTAGCACTTTTAACGTAATCGTCTGCATTTTTTTCGACTCCTCCTAAAAATAAACTCGTTAATTGAAAATCGTATTTATCTTTCTTGCTTATAGGGTATTTGATGGAATAAGTGTTGTTTTCCATCATTTCGATTTCGTTTTGCATTAATAAAATAGAATTCTCGAAGCATCTCTTGTTATTTCTTGCGCATAAATCTTTATATGTGAAATTCTCTGCAGTTTTTATATTTTGAACAGTTTTATCCAATTGAATAATTTCTTGAAATACGTCTCTTCGAAGCACGGATCCTTCATCTTTTGCCGTAACTAGGACTNTTTAAATAATTTCATTTAAACATTTTAATTTTTTGAAATTATTTGAAATTTTAAAATAACACAAGTTGGGTCTGGGCATGGTAATTAATACTGGCTTTCTTATGGGCTTAGCCCCATCAAATGTCTTAGTGGATAAAACACTGGTAGTTGGTTGCAGGTTTGCATCTCACTAATGGGCTGGCTACATGAAGTTTTTCAGGTTTTCTTCACAAATCTAACACCTAAATACAGCCAGTTTCCTGTAAAATGTCTTCCTGGGAGTCATCCTTCTTAGCAAGATTTCCAGGTGTTGGTGCCGTCTCCCATAAATCTATCCATTCTGAGATACTGAACTGCTTTCTTTATTTGACATCATTGAAAGCATCTGAAAACACTGAAATTTTTGCAGGGTATGTAGTGCTAAATTGTAGAAATTTTCATGTCCAAGCAGTTGAGATAATTCAGATAGCAGATTTTTCAACAATGTGTACTCCACAGATTCTTGTGGATCTAGGCCAATATATTGACAGCAATGTATATAAATTAGGTAAATGGCACATCAAAATTTATTAAACAGGTCTACTAGAAGGTAAAGTTTGAGAAACACTAAGTTAATGCATGCCATTGGGATATTTTGTACTTAAAAACATGTAGTTCTTCCAGTTTTTCAAAAATTGTATTAAGTTTTTCTTTTGCAATTTAAATAAAGATAAACTGCTGATAATAAGAATATTAAAACTATTACAGTGAAATGTTGATTTAATTTGTGGGGTGTGTATAATAGAAATGTAAATAATGCACAAGTACTATTCGTCAATTTTTATTTTTTATTTTTTTGATACTATACTTAAAGACCAAGTTCATAAGCAGTTCTTTAAATTTTGTAAACTATATCAAATTAGTTTAATTTTACATTAAAATATAAATAAATAAAATATATCGAAGCTACACAATTGTCTTTGTATTCCCTTTAACGACGGGAGATGAAGGCAATTTTGTAGTTTCGATATATTTTATTTATATTTTGATGTAAAAATTAAAATTAACTCATTTCATACGCTTTGCAAAGTTTAAAGACTGCTTAAAAACTTGGTCTTTAAGGTATAGTATGAAAACATAAAAAATAAAAATTGATAAATAACACTCGTGCATTGATTACATTTCTATTATACACACTCCACATATAAGTCAACACTTTATTGTAGTTTTAATATTCAGTTTTAATATCAACATTCAATTGTAAAATAACTTTTTCCAGTTTTTCAAAAACTGTATTAACTATGTATCTTTAAGTAGAAAATACCCCACAGACACGCATTAACCTACTGTTTCTCAAACTTCACCTTGTGGTAGACCTGTTTAATAAAATTTAATGTCCCATTTACCTAATTTGCGTAACACGCTGTCAATATATTTGCCTAAACCCACAGCGATCCGTGGATCGCACGTTGCCGAGAAATCTGCTATCCGAATTATCTCGACTACCCGGACACGAAAATGTCTATTATTCTATTATTCGGCACTACTGCAAACATTTTCGGTGTTTTCAGACGATGCTTTCAATGATGTCAAATAAAGAAAGCAGTTAAATGTCTCGGAATGGATAGATTTATGGGAGAAGGTAATATAACACTCGGATAATCTGCCGAGGAGGAATACTTTCTGTAAGAAACTGACCCGATTTAGGCGTTAGTTATGCGAATAAAACCTGAAAAATTCCATAAGGCCGGCCCGAAATGCAAACCCGCGACCAGCCACTAATGGATTAAGTATATAAGGAAGCCAGTATTATGAAATTATTTTGTTACGCAATCAAAATTATTAAGATAAAAATTTATATTTTAAATTTTTATATTTTAAATATTTAAAATTTATATTTTTTAATCAGTTCATTAAACCTGCCCTCAAAATGTTAGATTAATAATTTAACATCTCTCAAATTCATAAAACTGCTTAATTAAAACAGCTCTTTTAAAATTTACAAATGACAATATTGCCATATGTTTTATTTGGGACTGTTTGATCCCGACATTTTGCAATGCTCTCCTTTCTGATGCATTTTATAATTCTACACAATCAATATTAGATTTTAAAATTAAGCTACACTATCAGTAAAAAAAAGAACATTAAATAAAATAAAATACACACAATGATCACAATTTATAAGGTCTAATTTCGAGTGACTTTAAAATACAATCTTACAATGCAATAGAATAAAAAGTCTTACGTGTAATAAGATATTTATTTAATGTAAAATTGTAAAAAATGTAAAAATTAAAATTAGCTCATTTGATATTGTTATGCAAAGTTTAAAGAACCGCTTAAGAACTTCATCTTTAGGTATAGAAAAAAAAAACGTTGGTAAAAAGCGCTCGTGTAGCCTTTACATTTCTACTCGTATTATACACACCTCACGCGTTNTTTTTCAACTATTTGTCGCTTCAGATTTCTTGCATTATATCGTGATCTTTCATCTTTTGAATTCCACAAGTATTTGTATATATATATATATATATTTATATATAGTGTTATGGACTAAGTGATACGGGCATTATTCGTAATGTCCGGTCATTACGACGAATAATGCCAAACCAATTTTAAGTAACGAAATAAACTGGAGATGTCGGGTCGACCTTATAGATAAGCAGTCGCCAGCCGATAGGCGATGTAAATTTATACTCGCGTGCCGAGACCACCCGACTAAATTCATTCGACTACGACAGTTAAAAACCAAAAGGGATGAAGGTGTAGCCTATGATCTTTTAAACATTTTTACAGTTTTCGGTGCACCGAGTATTCTACAAAGTCATAACGACGGAGAATTCGCCAATAACGTCGTCGAAGAACTTTGTAGTCTGTGGCCCGAGTTAAAAATGGCGCGTGCGAAACCCAGGCATTGGCAAAGTCAAGGTTCGGTAGAAAGATGTAATAGAAATTATGTTTTGTACAACTGATGAAAAATAAATCGTATCGTACTTGTATAAACTATGGCTCCAATGAGGTTATGTCTGGAGCAAAGTTAAAAGTTGGACTAAAGAATTTTATACCTGACGAATATTTGAACAACATTAATATAAAGATTTAGAAACTCTTTTTAAAACTAACAATTAATTTCTTTGGTTCGATGTGACGACTCGGTGAATTTATTGACATTTGGCAAATAATTTCATCATGAACTTTTAATCCGTATAGATACGCGTTTCGGGTTTTCGCCCCTCTTCGGTCTGTTACTTAGATAGGTTGTATCTCGTGGACATCCGTCAAGCACCTTCCACACTACGTCTTCCCCCGCATGCCTGGCAACGCGCAACGTCTCACTCCCAGAGTGCCACACACAGCCTCGCCCGTGACTGTATAAACATTCTATTTTAATAGTTGTAACCAGTTTTTATGAATTTCTAACTATTAAAGTAGAATGTTTATACAGTCGCGGGTGGGGCTGTGTGTGGCACTCTGGGAGTGAGACGTTGCGCGTTGCGGGGGAAGCCGTCTTGTCGGAAGGGGAGTGGGAAGACGTAGTGTGGAAGGTGCTTGACGGATGTCCACGAGATACAACCTATCTATGTAACAGACCGAAGAGGGGCGAAAACCCGAAACGCGTATCTACCGTGTTTCCCCGAAAATAAGACAGTGTCTTATACTAATTTTTGCTCTGAAAAATGCGCTAAGTCTTATTTTCAGGGAATGTCTTATTTTTTCCAGGAAGAAGAATTCACATTTATTATTGAACAA